AGAGAGAGAGAGAGAGAGAGAGAGAGAGAGAGAGAGAGAGAGAGAGAGAGAGAGAGAGAGAGAGAGAGAGAGAGAGAGAGAGAGAGAGAGGGCACCACAAAAGACCATGCATTCACTATAGCGCCCATGGCCGCAAAATGTACATATAGTGTCCGGATGCGGAGGGTGCCGGCAGTCAGGAACGGAGGGACCGTCCTCTACACACATGGATGCAGAAACCATGTCATTGTAGTGATTGTGACACGGATGATGGCGGCTACAGCCGAGTGTAACACTGTTCGTAGCTGTGCAAAGGAGAAGATCGCCCACCATCACAATCACACCACACACAGAAGGAAAAAGAGGTGTACATAACGACTGCACACACAAGGAATAGACAAAATGGAATGTACAAGGCTCGCCACGTTGATGAAGTTGAGCGCGAATAGTCAAACAATTATACATAAGGGGATGGCCTTGCGATATCATCATCGAGCTGACCTGCCCCAGGTAATTGACAAATTTATTTCATTCTGTTCATCTGATTTATAAGGAATGGGCAGGTCCGACAGTCACTCCTACCGAACAGGAGGGATCAAATGGTGTCAGGAGTGCCCTGGCCGTAATGGGGGGAAGCACCCCCAAGCTGATCAGGGGTTACCCTGGCCACATACATGCTTACCAGTTCCTTAATGTCGGCCTGTGGGCCCGCCGCTGTAGCTTGGTCTTGCTCTGACATACACTCTGCCTTCACTTCCGATAGCAGTTTGTGCAAACACTCGCCTGCCTTGTGAGTGACGAAACCCCCCACCGGAGCATCCGCATTTGTGCTGCGTTTTTGTGTTGACATCATCATCAACAGCCTGGAAAACCAGAAAAATAAAAACCGAGTCAACATGGGAAACCAGAAAACAACGAACGGGAGTCTCAATGGGACGTTTTGTGTTAACATCCTCATTTGTGTTGCGATTTCATATGTATACCTACTATACGGGACGCTGAACCCGATTTCCAGCAGGTGGCGCTGCCCACCAAGAGACCGGAGTCCCAAACCAAGGTGTTCGGGGTGGGTGCTCATATCACCACTTCTAATAGCCTTGGAGGGTTCAAAAAAAAAAAAAAAAAAAAAAAACAGAACAACAGCCGACAGGCCTAGCTCAGTTGGTACACCAACGCACTGTTGAAATACAGACACAAGTTCGAATCCAGATGGAATTAGCTGACCAGAATAAAATATTCATTCCGAATTACCTGGGCAAGCCCCTCGATTGTCTTGCTGGGTCCTTCAGCCCCTCGATTGAAATACCATGTCTGCGTCGGCTGACTTTATCGTGCCCTGGTCTGCTGGGTCCTTCAGCCCCTCGATTGTGTTGCTCCTTGCACTAACCTTGATCTCGGAGAAAAAGAACTTGGACATGGATTCATTCAGGATGTAGTCATTCATTCGGGCGCGTATCTGTAGGCCTCTGAGTTCCCATCTTCTCCATTCATTTAGTTCGTCCTTGGTAGACTGGAGTAGGTTGTGGTAGAAGGAGTTGGCGGGATCGGAAGCTAGGTTGGTTTCTGCGATGTCGAGTGTGATTTGTAGTTCTTCCTTCCTGTGTGTGCGTTCTGCTGCTATGCTTCTAGACTCTGCTGAGACCGTCTGAGCCAGGTCCATATAGCTGTCTATGAACCATTTGTGTCTGTCCTGGCGTTTCTTCTCGTCTTGCTGTATGAACCACCAGTTCCATCTGGCTGCCTCGATCATGCGTTCTGTGGAGAGGAGTGAGTTGTCGAGTCTGAAGAAGCCTTGACCTTTTTCTACCGGAGAGTTGAAGTTAAGGAGCAAGTAGGTTGGTTTGTGGTCGAGCCCCTTGAAGGCTGTTGCTGGTAGGATACCAGCCTCCTTGATTGCCCCTTGTAGCATATTGAAAATTAAGAAGGAATCGATTCGTGATAGTGACGTGTGGTTAGAGCGGTTCCTCTTGACTAGGGAGAAGGCTTTCTTGCGTGGGTGGAGGATTCGAAATGGGTCGACCAGGTCGAACTCTGTCATGATGTGGGCCCCAGCAGCACTGTCCGAGAGATGCGATCCAGGCTGGGGTCCAACGTGGTGTTCCAATCACCTGCTATAATTAGCGGTAGGGTCGGGAATAGTGATTTAATGTGGTAAAAAAAAACTAGGCGTTCGGCTTCCGTGTTGGGGGCGTATAGGTTTAGGATCCTGATCTCTTTCCCTTGCCATGTAATTTGGATCCATGACCATCTGCCTTCTGCTGTGTCGCCTTCGCCGTTTTTTTTTTTTTTTTTTTTTTTTTTTTTTTTTTTTTTTTTTTTTAAAAATTTAAAAATTTATCCGGGGGGCATTTGAACAAAAAAAAAAAAAAAAAAAAAAAAAAAAAAAAAAAAAGTGGAAAAAAAAACAACCCGAGTGGCCGAGCACGTTTTGACACCGCCATATTTGGCGACTTTTCATTTTTTCTTGGCTTCGTAAAATGCCTTGAAAATTTATATGCATATAGCGAATGTCGTACAGAACTCAGAAAAAAACTTTCAACAACAACAAAAAATTTAGGCCTCAAAATAATTTTGGCAGGGGCCGAACCCCTTCAGGTTCGGACCCTGAACGGGACCCCGAACGCCCGAACGTTCGAGGGTCAGCCCGGGGGCCCCTGAACGTTCGCCGTATATATATGTATATTATTATTATATTGTCAAACAAAATGTCCCGATAAAGGACAACAAACGAGTAGCTGTGACAGATAGATTTGTCTGAGTTCACCAACTTCGCAGGAGGCTGAACCCTCTATAATTTGCAGAGTTTCTGAAGATACGCACACATACACAACAAAAAGGGTTAGTACTGTTGTGGTAATGACCCGGGTTCAAATCCGGCATTAAACATGCAAGGCCGGGCATGAGAAATAGGACTGTAAGGTCCCTGCATCCTTCAGACTGACCCTCAACTTTTGAAGGTAGAACCAGAGGAGGAAACTTTATTGGTCACAACTTTTAACCTAACAAAGTCCAGGGGTCAACAGTTGGTCCTACAGGCTCTCAAAAAACTACCCATAACCGATACGAAATGTGTACAAACATGACTCGGGTACAAACATGACTCGGGGTCCTAACCTTTGATCAGGTCAAAGTTCTGAATTGAGTCAATTCTCTTTTTTACATGATGATTTCATTGAATCACTAAGTCTATTTATGAAGTTTTAACTTCCCTGACTCTGAAGAGGCATCAAACTATCCCTTGGTGAATAGGGATTGGGTCAAGGTTCAAAATGAGGCACCTCATGCCTCCAGACTGAAAAGTAGGCCCTACTCAGGCACATAAGTCAAAGAGTCAAAGATTTCCCAGGAGTCAACCACGGCCTCAGATTTCACACAAATCCAATGACTTAGTGCAGCAACTGTTTCCAAAAGTTTCCAAGGGCCACTGGGTCCACGTACACACTGGCCGCTAGCAAAGTTGGGCCACATATGCCTTGCGCTGCTATAGTGCCCGTTCTACACTGCGGCTACCACGCACGTGCTACAATGTATGTGCTACAAAGCATGGCCATATGACGTGCTCCGGTGGCGCATTACAGTGCACTGCTACAGTGAGTGCGAGAGAAGGCAAAAAGAGGAGTGAGAGGCTGCCATGGCGAGTGTGAGAAAGAGTGGTAGCCATAACCTGTAGAAGGTGCTGATGCACCACGTGCATGTATAAACGAGGCCACTCTTTCGGAGGTGCCTGTGGAGACAGAGAACATCACTGCAGAACAGGCCTATGTGATGGCCGATCTGAACATGAATGCCTCCGCCGATGAGACCTTTGTGACAGCTGATCGTCACATGAATGTGTTGATGATGAGTCTGATGACGAAGGGAAGGTATGCAAGCGAGAGGAAGAGGAAGAGGAGGAGGTTGACCGAGGGGATGATGTAGTACAAGATGTAGGTGGATGAGCTGGTGGTGATGGTGGTGGTTATGGTGGCCATTTTCAGTATCAGATGCGGTGGTAGGATGCAGGTCACTGTCCCTTGCAACGACTTCGATAAAATTCACATCGTTTACTGCGGCTAGTCTGGTTTCCTGCTGAATTGTAGTACCCACCTTAGCAGAATGGCATGGGATTAAGATGAGAGGGCGGGCCAACTGCGTGTGGCTATGAGGAGGGGCAGAGCTGCCGATCCTCAACATTGATATTTGGGAGTGGGTGGGGTCCCCAACCTGTGGCTATGTGTAGGGCTGATGCTGCCCATGTGCGGAATTAGCACTTGGGAGTGGGTAGCATTGGACAAGTGCACCGTGCAACGCAACTAATTCATAACTTGTGTGACATGACTAGGTAGCCGACACTGCTGGCCACCAGCGTTGTCATGCGGGGATCCCCGGGGCCCAAGCCGGGGTAGGGGTTTCACCCCCAGACCCCCGCCGCGGGGCTACCCAACCCCCGACCCCGCCCCGGCCCCTCCAACCCCGCTGGCCACACACATATGCAGTCCAAATCTCTGGCCATGACATTGGGAGGATGACCCCTGACAAGCATATGTCCTATAAGGGAGGTCACTGCAGTTTTGAAGTCGATGCTATTATTACAACTTACAAATACTATGCTCAAAAGTAGTCATTTAACTGCCATTTCGTCAACTGCCATTTCGTCAAAATGGACATCTTTTATTTTTTGAACGAAATTGAAACCGAGTTTTTTGGCCGAAAACTCGTCAAACTTTGCGGTTTCGGAGGGTCCGGCGTTTGTAAGACGCTGGACCCCCTGGCTGTACATGGACCTAGCTTGAGACCAGGTACCTCCAGGCAGTCCGGCCCGGCGTTACGAAATGGTCGTCATTTGTATTATGAGCACACCACTGGACCCGCTTTCCAGCAGGTGATGCTACCCACCAATAGATGGAGTCTCCCTTGGGGGCTAGCAGTGATTGCTCTTATCAACAACACCTCTAGCACTCGCAAGGGATGTAAAAAAAAAAAGAAAAAAAAACAACACTGCCGGCTGATCGGCTTTGGAGGAAGCAATTAGATAACTTATGAAAGGGAACGTCCAAGGCTCAACCTTATGAAACACACCAATGAGAAGCAAGTTGTCTAGCCGAACCAAGATTCTTGCCCCGAGGAAGAGACATGACCCATCTTGCTGAGTACTAATGTCTTTCCCCTCAAGACCATGCCAAGCAGGAGGGAGTGGAGATGTTTTTCAAGATACAATGTCATCAATAAACCAATATGTGAATGCATAGTAGCTTAGCGCCCACGGTGCGGGCGGTGCGGGCTATGCCTCCATAAAAATACTACGGTGAAGATCAGTCAGAGTAGTCACATAGACCCAAATGGACATATAGAGCACAACACATCCAATATGAACTTAAAAAAACAGGCTCAAAGTAACACAAACAGCCTGTTTTGCGTACATGTTGAGTATGCTGTGCATGTTGAAACTGATTTTTGCCAGAGGTGTTTTTTTCAAAATTCAAACTCTTTCTGTGACTCCCACGTAATTTTTCGAAAAAAGAAACATATACAGACATATGGCCGATGCCACGGATCGCATCATTTTTGCCATTTTTTTGGCATATCGTGTTTAATTTTTGTGCAGATAAGAAACCCGAGAAAAGCCGGCCCCTGAAGTTGAACCTGTGTTTCCAAATTCACAATCTGAACCACTCAGACATCCATCCAAAGCAAAGACTACCTAGTCTGATGGGTTCAGCACATGCTTCTTCTTCTTCTTCTTCTTCTTCTTCTTCTTCTTCTTCTTTTTTTTTTTTTTTTTTTTTTTTTTTTTTTTTTTTNCAGTCTTTCCACCTGAGGTGAAGACCTTGAATACCCGCCACCTTTCCATTGACCAGCCAAACTTTCGTGAATCTTGCCAGAATCTCCTGCTGCTTCTCCTTCGCCGTTACTTACCAGACCCTCAGACCAGATTTTAGAGGTAGTTACTTACCAGACCCTCAGACCAGATTTTAGAGGTAGTTGGTATAAGGATTGCTGTGCCGTGGTTGCTTTGGTCCGCTTTGTTGGACCACAGTGTGAATGGGCATCCCCCTAGGCTTTTCTCCACGGTCCTCTTTATTCTTGTGTGGTTAGTGAGGTTGGATATGTGGGTCTCTTGTAGGAGAATGACATCGGGTTTGGGCTTTCTTTTGTCTGTGAGGCCGAGTCTGATGTCTCGTAGTTTGTCGTCTTCGGTGAGAATGTTGCCCAATCCGTTGACGTTCCAACTGTCGACCGTCAATCCTTTTGCTTGCCAGTCCGTTCTCACCTTACCAGAGTGATTATTGTTGTCACCCATTCGATTATGTCTGACAGGTTGCTGTGTGCAAATTTTCTTTTTTTTAATTTTCTATGGGGTGGCGGTTGTGGTGCGGAGTTCAGTTGGGGGGTGGGGCGTTGGGGTCTCTAATCAGCCGTTGCCGTGGTCCCTGTGCTGTCGTTTTAATATGCCCCTGACAGTTTGATTTATTTGCGGCGTGCCCCTCTGACAGCCGGCTTACCCTGTCGCGCCCCTCTGACAACTATCTACGTTTCCGAAAAACCCCTGGTGCCGTTTGGGCCTGTAATATGTTCAATATGCCCCTACCGGTAGCGGTTCCGAATTTCCAGTATGCCCCGGTAGCTCCCCTCCCAGGGCAAGGGGCACGGCCGAGAGAGCCACCACCGACCACAGGGGCATGCTGGAAGTTGCACGACCTGCAAGAAAGCTCGAAGGACCCAGGGTAAGTTGGCCGTTGGAGGGGCATGCTGCAAATAAATCAAACTTTCAGGGGCATAATTTTCCCGAATAAATTAAAAAAAAAATTCAAAAAAAATCTAGGCTACCAGCCGGGCCGCCCGGGTCCCCGGTGGCAAGCCCGTGCAAGAACCAGGGAAGGCCCCAGCAAAAAAAAAAAAAAAAAAAAAAAAAAAAAA